CTTCTGTATTAGGTACTTTGTTTCTAGGACAGAGCATGGCATCAAGGGTGGATCCTTGGGGCAGAGGGACAGACAGTATCTGATGGGAGTTTCACCACCTGACCTTGCTTGACTTCTGTTTCAAATCTGATTTCCATCAATCCTAATATTCCTGTATTCCTGACCCCTAAAAGCTCACTTACTCTCTACGCTATTCATTCTGTCCTGTGGCTCTTAACACTGACAGGTCCTTATATAAATGCAGTTCTGAGGGATGTGATTGGGAGATGGGTGAGCCACTTCATCTGTAAAGTGGGGTAATAATCGTGCACCTTGTGTGATGCTGTGAGGTTTGACATGCAAAGAATTCAGAGCAATGCCTGGTTACTCTAAAGTACTTAACAATTTTCAGTTATTAATGCTTCTGTGGCTGTTATTATTAGACTAGTTCATGCTATGGTCTACACCTGGTGGAACTTACAGGAAATTGAGGATGAAGACTGTCTCAAACAGCTGTGACTCTCCCCCAGTGACCTGCATTTAGTGGGCTGTTAGCAGGTATGTGGGCCAGGACCTTCTCAGTCCAGTGGTCCATTCCTTAGCACACAAGGGCATGTAGTCTGGGAGACATAGACTGAATCCCTTCAATGAACCATTTCTGTAGGGAGAGGTCAGCAGCCAGCTGGTGAATGTTCAGGTCATGTGCCTGCATATATTTGGAAAATGTGAATCCTTCCTGGACCCAGAGCCATCCTGAACCCCAGCCAGAGACCCTCATCCTTGGAAGAAAGTCACCCTCCGACTTACCGAGAAATAGACATTGCCGTCAGGCAAGACTCCTCCAACAACCAGATCACTTCCCACGATGGTGTAGCGATTTTTGACTCCCAAGCCCACCCAGCCAGCTGTTCGGACCTGGAGCTCAAAAGTGATCATCTCAGTCTCAAGGTCAAAGTCCCAGCGTAGGAACACGACATTAGAAGGATCCAGGAACCTGGAATAACGCAAGTGAGATGTGGGGCCCAGGCGGGTGCCTTGGGTGGGGGCAGCCAGGACCATAAGGAGGAGGAGCCTGAAGAGAAGAAGGCTGCAGGCCATGGCTCCTGGGGTCAGAAGTGTCTCTCCTGCAAATGAACACTCAAGAAGTATGGACTTTTATGTGCTCTTCCCATGCCAGGCACCGTGCCATAGGGGAGGGACAGACTGGGGCTCTCTTGATCTCATCATCCCCTGGCTCAGAATGGTGCCACTTACATAACCCTGCAGGCCAGGGTAAGGTGTCCAGAGAGGGTGCAGAACAGAGGCTCTTGCCCTGGACTGGGGACCTTGCATGAAATACGCAGGAGAAAAACTTTCAGACTCTTTCACCCCAACCCTATGCCAGTGTCCCGCCCATGAGAACCTTAAAGAATCAAGGGGGTTTAACTCCTCCTTCCCCTCTACTCCCCTCTCCCTCCCTACGTCCCTCCCTCCCCTCCATCCCTGGATCCTAGGCTGTCCTCACTGAGCTCTTCTTCTCTGGCACCTGTGCCCCACCCATTTCCATTGTGTCTGTGTCTAGGCCTGGGCATGAGCAGGGGTGTGGTGGGAGTGCCTGTGACCTGCCTTTCCGCCTCCCAGCCCAGCAGGAAGGAGCCATGCAGGGCGGGGGTTAGGGGAAGGCTGTGATTTCCATCTGGAGGAGTCTTTGCTCTAATCCAGGGAAGGACACATAGAGGTGAAGGAGCCACAATCAGCTTGCGGGTGGGGGAGTCTGGGCAGCTTGAGTTTCAGCACATTCCTGGGGAGGAGCGAGGAGGAGTTGGTGAGGGGAAGAAGAGAGAATGGGAAAACCATGCACTTGCCTTTGAGAGGCTTTGGCTTTTTCCTTCCTCCCACGACCTGCTTTTAGAGAAGTCACGGACTTTCACTGGAGGCCTGGCCCAGTGTCCCTGCAGGCCAGCACCTTGGTATTATGTAAGTAGAAAAAGGTCAGAAGGAATGTTAGCGTATTAAAACACAAGAGTAAAAAGGGAAACTAGATCCCCTAAATTTTCCAAAAATTTCAATCCCCTTCACTTCGAGAGGAAACAGCAACACCACGAGTGACATGAGTCGTGCATATGCCTGGTCACCATCCAGGCGGAGCTGACACAGGACCCAGGGTCCTGCCTCCTGGCCTCTGCTCTGCCCAGCACTCCCTTAGGTCACAGACACCCACAGGGCACCAGCCTCCCCCCCCCCCCCCCCATGCATTTCCATCATGGCTTGTCCTGGATGGAGTTGGTGTCATTGCTGACAGTTTCTTGGGGAGGGGACTAAAGTCTCCCCCTAACTCCAAAGTTCTTTCCTCCCAAGGCCGGACACAGCTGATCTGAAGCTGGAAAACACCTCATTGACACCCCAGTGTCCTTCCTCCATTAGATAATGAAGAGGCACAGAAAACTTAACAAGGACACGTGTCTGGAGAGCCTCTCCCAGCAGAGAAACTGGACCACGCGTCTGTCCACAGGAATTCAGCTCCGATGGGGGTGGACAGGAGCTAGAGCACCTGCTTATTCAGAGTGTTCATATTCTTCTTATTGTCGACTGAGTTCTTCGAAGCTGTTGAGGTTGCTTGCAGCTGCTATGAGCGCCCGAGTAGTAGTTGGGGTGTATGGGGGGAAAAACACATTATCTAGGGGGGCAACCATAATGCCCAACTCTGACCACGGGAGGAGGTAGGGAGCTAGGCAGCTATCTGGAAGGAAAGAGGCTTACCTTGGCCCTGGACAGGAGCCTGGCCAAGACCAGAGGAGGAGCCTGGGGAGGCAATGACCTTGAGGAGCAGGAATTCAGGGAGGAGATAACTTGAGTGTCAGAGACACTCTGATCCCAATCTCATTTGGGGATTAAGGCAAAGGGAGAGGGCAACAAGGAGACAGGACAGCCAGCCCTGTAAACTGAGATGTGCCCAGGATCCCTTATCCTGCCATCTGTCCAGCCTGGTCTCAGCGCTGGCCGGGGGAGGAGGCAGGGACACAGGACAGAGCTGGAGTCAGCCGCTGCACTTCAGAGAGTCTGCTTGTGGACCCTGGCTGGCTTCCCACGGGGCCTTTCTCTCTGTCCTCCTTGGTTCCCCGCCCCCTCTCCTGTCATCTGATCCCCAGAGTGACCCTCCCTACAGCAAAGCTCAGCACTGACTGCCCATGATGTCCTGGGGTGAGCACACAGCACTTTGGGGGCCTGCATTTTCCCGGGATTCAGGGCGTGTGGTTTGGGCCCTGCTTCCCGGAGCTTCACCCCTCCCCCTCTCTGGGCGACGAGGTGGGAACAGGTAAAAGTGAATCCGCTGGTTACTTAGAAAGTAGTGCAGCTGACATTTTGTGCACAGTTAGATGGAGCAGTTTTGAAGTAGGGTGATACGAAAAATATCAGTGAAGTCACTTTATACACAAAATTGTACATAACCAAACTCTGTATATTTTTTCCTTTTTTGAATTCAAGAAACACGATTTCAAAGTTAGGGAGCCCAGTGAATTATAAACTGTATTATGCTGCCACCAAATGGATCCTTTGTCAAAATCATGGGAACTCTATTGTTGTATGTATGAAAACTTCCAAAGATTAAAAACAAAACAAAACAGTGAGCCCTGGCCGGTGTGGCTCAGGTGGTTGGGCACCTTTCACGCACCGGAAGGTCGCTGGTTCCATTCTAGGTCAGGGCCTGTGCCTGGGTTGCAGGCTCCATCCTCGGTAGGGGGCCTGCAGGAGGCAGCTGACCCATAGTCCATTCTCCAGTCAATGTTTCTCTTTTTCTCTCCCTCTCCCTTCCTCTCTCTCTAAAAATCCATAAAAATATTTTATTAAAAATAGTGAATGTGGGAGATATAAATGACCAGGCTGCTGGGCTCTGATGTGGGGACTCTCCCGGGACATGGACCTGCAGCCTTGCCCTCCTCCAACCCCCTCCTTCATTTATGTGTGTCTGCGATGGGCACACAGCCGCTTGGAACACCAACTTGAATACTGTGCAGTTTCAAGTCTTGAAACAGCCGAGCTCAGTTACTAACCCATCTGTGTCTCCAGACTGTTGTCCGTAAAATCCTGAGGTTGGAGAGGTGATAGACGTGGGGCCTTATCTTATTTATTTATTTTTAATTTTTTCTTCTTTTATTGATTTCAGAGAGAGGGGAAGGGAGAGGGAGAGAGGGACAGAAACATTGATGAGAGAGAACATTGATTGACCACCTCCTATATGCCCCCCACTGGGGATCTGGCCCACAACCTGGGCATGTGCCCTGACTGGGAATCAAACTGGTGACCTCTTGGTGCATGGGTCGAGGCTGAGCCACTGAGCCACACCAGCCAGGCAAGTCTAACTCAGTTTAGAACAGAAACATGCCTGGGCTGGAAAATTTAAATAAACAAACAAACAAACAAACAAACAAACAAACAAACAAACGGAGTTAGGCTCACCTTCTTTGGCATTTGTATTTCAAGGAGACGGTTGCCAGTCTTTGAGAGAGGCACCCCTGGCTCTTAACCCTGGCAAGAGTGGTTTAGCTTTTGAAAAGATTTACATGCGTTTCAGAGACAGAGAAAGAACTTACATGCTCTCCAAAGTCAACGCTCTCAGAGGGTGGAGAGGAGGGAAGTCTCTTCTCTTATTTGTAACGGGGAGAATCATGCCTCTGGTGGTGAGTGTGTGTTCGCCCTCACAGAGGGCACCGCAGGTCACCGGAGACGAGTGTCAGCTGTCTAAGGCCCAGGTGGCCCGGTAGCAGCCTCTGCACATGGGGAAGCACGAGAGGTCTTTGATCTGGAGGTCTGTCAGTTGGCTGCACTGAGCTGTTTTAGTCCCCGGGGAAGATGTGAGGCACGTGCACAAGCACTGTTCTCGGAAACTCTGGGACACAGTTGAGGGGCGCGGTGGGGAGTGTGTGTGTGTGTGTGTGGGGGGGGGGGAGTCGAGGTTGGTGCCCAGGAAATAGGAAACGCTCTCCAGTTGAGGTGAGAGCCACAGTGAGAAGATGAGACAAGACGTTGGTTGTGTTTCCTGGAACAGCCACTCCCTTTTGAGTTTTGAGTTTCAGGCCCAGAGAGTGTCAGCCACTAATTGCCACCGTGCTGGCCAGGGTCCTGCTCTCCTGCCTGCTGGCCCTGCCCCTCGGCCCCTGACCCCCTGCCCTGCTGGAGAGGACCTGGACGGGCCAGGGAATGGCAGCACTTCCCATTCTGTGGGGCTGGGTGCTCATGGCTGCCGTGCGGACAGGTCAGATGCCAGGCAGGGAAAGCCGCTCAGTGGGTCGAAGGAGGGAAGGGGGGTCCGGGGCGCTGGGGCACCAGGAGGCACAGCTTTGCTCAGCCCTCCCAGGCATGGCCTCTTGACCTGAGAAATTATCCTTTCTATTCCCAGCTGTCTCCTCTCGGCACCACTCATGGGACCCCCTCTTTAGGATTTGGCTGCCCTCGTTATTTCTGGGGGTGACCTCCACCCCGGTACCTCCAGCCTGGCCTGCCTGTGTATTTCAGGTGCCTCTGAGAGCTTGGTGGAGCAAAGGCCCAGGTGGGCCCTGGTACGTCGCGGACAGGCTGAAACCCTGTACTGCTTCCTGAGAGATGCCCAGTACCCCTGGATGAGCTGGTACCAACAGGATCTCCAGGGACAACTCCAGGTTCTGGCCAGTCTGCGGTCTTCTGGGGACAAGGAGGCCAAATCTCTTCCCGGTGCAGATTACCAGGCTGTGCGGGTCAATGACAAGGAGCTGAAGCTGCAGGTGGCCAATGTGACCCAGAGCAGGACCCTGTACTGCACCTGCAGCAAAGACACAGTGAGACATTCTCCTTGGACGAGTGAACAAAAACCACCCCTGGTTCCCACAGACCCACGTCCCTCCCACTCTGCCCTGACAGCACCCCAAGCCTGCTCGTCCCCGCCCCAGATCCTCCCTTCTGGCCTCTTCACTGCAAATGAACTCTGACGTCATAGCACAGCCACGGACCACAGGCTCTGGGCCACCTGCAGACCTTAGCTCTGCCACCTGTGAGCTGTGGGGGAGACGGTGTCTCCCTGGAACTTAGTTTCTGTGTCAGTAAAATGACTACCCAGCTCAGAGGACCCCTGCGAAGACTCAACATCCCAGGTCAGGTGAAGCCTTGAGTGCAGGACACAGGCACACAGGACACAACTAGCATAAGCTCTTGTCCACACGGACAGAAAACACATACTGCATGTGAATACCAGTCTCCATGCCCACAGGGCACTGGGCAGAAACCGGGAGGAATCCTGGGAGCTCAGAAAGGGGGAGGATGAATGTCTCCATCTGTGGTCCCAGCTCATACCCCTAGAAGAAATAAACAGCCACTTTTCCAGTTAGATCCCCATTTTCAGTGCTCACTGAAGGGGTTAGTAATGTTTTAAAGGGTAAGGGTAAAAGCTTGCAAAGGTGAAAACTGTGAAAAATTGTGTTGCTTGCATGACCTTTGCTCAGCCTTCTATTGAGTATGGATAAGGATTACAGTGATACCTCGGTTCTCGAACATAATTCGTTCCAGGAGGACGGTCGAGAACCAAATTGTTCGAGAACCGAAGCAATGAAACCCAATAGGAAATAATGGAAACTGGATTAATTCGTTCCAAGCCCCAGAAAATGCCTATTTACTGGCCTAATTTGTATATAATATGTAGAAAAACATAAGTCTCAACAAGAAATAAAAGTGTACAGTATGTCTAAGGGTTAAATTCAGTGTAAAGCGTGACTCTCTCCACAAAGCGTGACTCTCTCTCTGCACTCACACTGATGACGCAAGCAAGGCGCGCTGGGCCGAATGAACGCCATTCGGCTCAACTCGGCTCATCTCGGAAGTTCGAGTTCCAAATATTTGTTCGGATTCCAAGACAAAAGTTTCTCGAATCTCCTGGTCAAATACCGATTTGGTCGAAATCCGAGGTGTTCGAGAACCGAGGTATCACTGTATTTGGTTATCCGCAAGACAATCTGGACGAGATACCAGACCAGTCCAACTGCAAAGTGGACCGTGGGCCAGGCAGAGTATGTCAGCAGGAACTGCTGGAAGATAAAAGTAGAGTGTACAACCGACACCCCAACTGTCATTCGGAGCTGACCCCTTCTCGGCCCAGCCTGCCTGCCCCCAGGCGCATGCAATAAAGCCATTTTGCTCCACTTTGGCCTTGTGTTGTGGATGTGATCTCCCGCCGACTCAGACCTTTTACTTGGTGCCGAAACCTGGGAGGTCTGTGAGGATCCTGCACGGGTCCTCGGAGCCTCCGGGCCTCTTGTCAGACCGGGATTGATCACATCCTCAGCTGGATACCGGACCTCCAACCTTTCCTGCTGATCCTGCATCAACACCAGACACTAATTCACTGGTGAGTGTTCTTGCCTACTGGTCTGATTCTCTGGGCTGTCCTGTTATCCCTCATCCAGGACATGAGAGAGCCAGGTCTCTTGGTCATGTTGAAATCAGCACTAGTTGGGACGTGCTCCTTGGGAACCAGGTTCCTCAGCTCACCATATATCTCAGGACACCTGACATAGGTGAGTTGCACGTCTCTCTACTCTAGGAGAGAAGGGGGGCACCTTCTTCTTTCACTAGTGTATCCATTGGACCGTTAGGCCATGACATCTCACACCGCAACATGGGACAGCACTCCTAGGATGTCTTCTAAAAAATCTACAGACCCAGGGCTCGCTCAGGACTTACGTCCCAAGTGACTCATTTTTTACTGCAACACTGCGTGGCCCCAGTACAAATTAGACAATGGGTCACAATAGCCTGAGAACGGCACCTTCGACATTCTCACCAACATGGACAATTTCTGTCAAAGGCAAAGAACATGGTCTGAGGTTCCTTACATCTGGGCCCCTTTGCACTCAGATCACACCCCTCTTTATGCGATTCTTGCTCTCCCTCCCAAATATTCCTACTCCACTCTCTTCCTCCCAAACCTCCCTCTAAAGATGGTGAGCTAATTTTTCCTGTTTCCTTCTTTGGCCCAGCCAATCTTGCCCCATCACCTCCTCCCTCAGCCCCTCCGGCAGGGCCCCCTCCTCCTCCAGCCCCTTCTGCGGGCCCCACCGCACCCTGAACCTTCTCTTCCAGCTCCGACTCTTCTACAGCTGCAAACAACTCCCTCACACACGCGATCGAAACCGTCTCTGGTCTCCATCTGTCCCCTACCTCGGCCCCTGTTTTAGATGACCCCCCAAGGGAAGCAGCAGGAGCTGAAGGGATTGTCAGAGTTCATGCCCCCTTCTCTCTCTCTCTCAGATTTGTCCCAAATAAATAAAAGACTAGGCTCCTTTACTGAGGATCCCACCAATTATACTCAGGAATTCAAGTACCTTACCCAGTCCTGTGATCTAACTTGGAATGATATCCATGTTATTCTCTCTTCCACCCTTAATCCAGAAGATAAAAATCGAGTCTGGGTTAAAGCCCAGGGCCATGCCAATAATCTGAGTGACAGCCCCCCACTAACCCCGTAGGGGTCGAAGCAGTCCCTAGCCAGGACCCCAGGTGAATTATCAGGACAATGGGGCAGGTAGGAAAGCCAGGACCACATGCTAATATGTCTCATTGAGGGACTTTACAAAGCCTCACACAAGGTGGTTAACTATGAAAAACGGTCTGCAATTATCCAGGAGAGGGATGAAAACCCTGCAGCCTTCTATCCCCCTTACACAGGCCACGAGAAGATGCACTAACTAAGATCCCACCAGCCCAGAGGGGACTGTCATTTAAACCTGAGATGTATCTCTCAGTCGGCCCCAGACATTAGGAGAAAGTTACAAAAACTGGAAGATGGCCCTCAAACCCCTCAATGGGCACTTCTAAATCTAACCTTCAAGATTTTTAATAATCATGACGAAGAGGCTAAACAGCAAAGAAGAGCAGAATTCCAAATGCTTGCCTCTGCCGTCAGAGCCCCACTAATCAAAGGGGTCAGCAAACCCCCGTCAGGGGACAGAAGAAGGGACGCCCACCAGAGTCAGCAGAGCGGATCCCCAGGTTCCTGCTTTAAATGCAATCAGACTGGCCATTGGGTGAGGCAGTGCCCCAACCCTCGGCCACAGCCTAAGCCATGGCCTCCATGTGGAGGGCCCACTGGAAGTCGGACAGCAGACAGACTGCGCAGAGCCGGTCCTCATCCCTTCCTCGGGCTGGCAGAACAGGCAGTCCAGGCCTTGATCTGATTGGCCTGGAGGCTGAAGACAGAAGGTGCCCAGGAACGGTGGCCCCGACTGTCATCTCGAACTCTGAACCTCAGGTAACTCCGATGGCAGCAGGTAGGCCAATTTCGTTTTTAAGTGATACCGGGGCAACCTACTCTGCCCTCCCTGAGTTCAGGGGACCTCTTCCCCACTCTGGGGTTTCAGTTGTGGGAACTGATGGCCAAATATCACAACCCAGGACAACCCAGACACTCACTTGTTCTTTAGGTCCTTATATCTTCCTGCACTCTTCTTTAGTGTTACCAGCCTGCCCCACCCCCTTGTTAGGGCGGGACATGCTATCTAAACTCCATGCCACTTTAACCTTTGCTCCTACCCTCCCCACCAACCCCTCTCATTCTTTACTATGTCTCCTCCAAGAATCTGCTTCCTGTCGTAACATAGCCCCCCCCACACACCCCTCCTTTCCCTTGAGGGGGCGGGGTGGGGTTCACCAGCCTCGCGGGGCTCCAGGTGAAATGCCACTACTCTTATCATTTTCTTTCACTGATCCAGTGATGCGGGGAAGGGGGGACAAGCCCTGAGGGGTTCTCGCTTCTGTTGCCCATCAGGTGCCCCCAGCTCTGGGGACAATGCCAGGTGGGGAGTTTGACTGGGACGGTGCACCTGTCAATCAATCATGCAGGTGTCCTAAGGCGAGCTCAGGGAGGACAGAAACCTCCCTGGAGCAGAAGATCTTGATTCTCAGTAGGAATCCAGACCTACAGACCGTGAAAGCAGGCACCACGTATACTCTCTCTCACTATAACCTCACGAGGGGCACCTGTAATCTACCTGCTCATGACGTGTCTAACCCCTGCAGTGGGAGTTTGCATGTGCAAGCTCAGAGGGACTGGATGCAATACCACAAAAATCATCCCAGGGAAATTAGCCGCTGTCCAGGGTGCAGTTCTGCCGGTGGCACTAGCCCTCTCCTCCCTCTATCATGGTTTGATCATCCGAGCCTTCCTGTGGGTCCATCAAACACCTCCCTAGGCCCAAATATGATTGGGCTGCTTTGCTTACCAGCAGGAATGATGTTTTTAGGTGCACTAAACATTTCTGCCCCCAGGAGAGGAATTACTATTCAATGCCTAAACCCAGTAAAACAGGGTGACTTATGGGCAGTAGGATATGTCACCCTAGCCAATACCTTAATCGACTCCTTCATCCCTAATTCAACCTCATCAGGCCCTGAGCCCAGAAGCCATCATAAGGCAAAAAGGGAAGTCAGACTTCTCATAGCAGGAGTCGTAGCTACAATTACCACTGCAGGCTTCGTGGGAGGAATTACTTCTAATGCTATAAGAGCAAAAAACATAACCGCCACCATGGCAAATACAGGTAGAGATACAGGTGAAAATTTCAAACTTCTTTCAAAATCTCTCAGCTCTCTTGCCTGCATGGTAATAGATTATTTACTGGTCAAAGAAGGAGGTATACGCATGACAGCAAACACATCTTGTTGCTTCTGTGCTAACTCAACCAGCCAGGTCGAGGAGAGGACACAACGAATTCTAGGTAATGCCCAGTTGTCAGGATCACCTAGCCCAGTCTATCAGGACAAGTATAGAAGCAGCCTTGCCTAAACTAACCTGGCTACTCCCCTTCATAGGGCCCCTACTATTAGTCCTCTTATTGCTTTTCGGACCCTGCCTCTTGCACCTGATTACTAGGTTTGTACAAAATCGACTGCAAGTTTTAGTCAACCAGACGGTTGGACAATTTGTTCTAGCACAGGTAAA